TTCAAATTTATGGATCAACACCACCAAACATTCATGACATACATGTGTCCTTGCGATTCGACGAGTCAAAATCAACATCGAAAACAAGCATTAATTTGATTGAAAAAACGACGGGGAAGATCCAAAGCTCACATGCTTAAACTTAGCCATATCTTTCCCACTTTTTTACGAAGGGTTTGTCTAAATTCTTTAGGGTATTAATTAAGTATATAATAAATTTATTTTTTATAATTAATTTATATAAAAATAAAAAGTTAATTTTTATTTTAATATTATTATAGAAATAATTTTAATTAATTAATTTTTATTATTTTGTATATAAATTAATTATAAAAAATATATTTATTATAGATTTAATTTATACCCTAAAGACATTAAATAAAAAAAAATTTTAATTACCCCACCGACCAAAAAGAAAGGGGTGTTCAATTGGAAAGATGTCCTTGTCTAAACCAAAATACACAGCACATACACGTATCTTGCATAAACAATTGGACTTGGTCCAGGGTTCGAGCTTATGGAGCAACAATAAGAGGACAAATTATAGCAACCACCACCACAAGCTGTTCAACTTATAAGAGAGGTGTAATTAGCACTTCCATTTGGAAAGGAAGAGAAACAACACTGAGAAGTTCATAAGCAGGTAACTGAAAACAAGTTATATGTTAATGTTTTTTCTTAGAAAGGGGAAAAAACTATTGTAGAAATCAAGGATCATTTTCCTCTTTACAGCGAAAGTCAGTTACCCTAGAATTTTAAAATCATTGACCCTAAATTCGGAATTAAGTTTCTTATAGCTTTTTTGAAATAAGGGATTATTGGAAAATCAATCCATATTTCTCCTTTTTCTGCTCTACTAACCCATTCTCCAGTTTGCTCCTTTGGATCAATTGAGTTTGATGATGCTTTCGGCTTTTCCATCTTTTCATCAGTAATTTAATTTTTACCTTGTGATAAACTAACCTGGAATTTCCCAGGTATATGATGCTGAATCCTTATAGTTTCATTTACCAATCATTCCGTTTTTCATATTTTTGAGCAGTTGATTGATGGAAGATGAACATGAAGCAATTGATCGTCTCTCCACTCGGATAGATGAAAAGCTTTCATCATTTTCAACAGTTTCATTGCCAATGTGTTTCAAAGTACCTAATCTACTACGCCAGACAAATGAAAAGGCCTACGAACCTCAAATTATCTCAATCGGACCTTATCATCACGGAAAAGATCATTTGAAAGGCATGGAAGCGCACAAAATATTTTATCTAAATAGGCTCCTTCAAAGAAGAGGGGAGACTGGTGTGCGTAAATATGTGATGGCTTTGAAAGTTAAGGAAGAAAAGATTCGCGAATGCTATGCAGAACCTCTGGATCATAATATTGATGGAGATGCACTTGTAGAAATGATGCTCCTTGATGGCTGCTTCATCATTGAGATAATCCGCGAGTATCAGACTTGGAATTTGGGAGAACTCCAAGAAAGGAATGGTAATTTTCGAAATTTCAACGTGGAAAGCGTAGTCTGTGATTTATTACTGGTGGAAAATCAGCTGCCTTTCTTTGTACTATCAGAGCTGTTTCATATGACTCCAGAGCCTAATCAAGAGAATGTTCATG